TAAATCCCTAAACCCTAAACCCAAAGCCCCTAAACCCTAAACCCCTAAGCCTAAACCCCTCAACACTAAACCCTAAACCCTAAACCCTAAGCCCCTAAACCCTAAACCCCTCAACACTAAACCCTAAGCCCCTAAACCCCTAAACCCTAAAACCCTAAAACCTTACACCCTAAACCCTAAACCCTAAACCCCTATAAACCCTAAACCCTAAACCCATAAAAACCTTCAAGCCTGAAGCCCAAAATCAGCCCCCAGCTGCGGCGTGAACAGCCATCATCCAGTTTCCAGAGTTCGGGCTCAAGCTAAGATAAGGCCCAAGGCCCAAAATCTAGACTCCAGGATCCATGTTGGGATGTTGGAGTCCAGGACGTTGAATTGCCAGTTTGGATGCAGGAGGATAAGGATTCAAGCCCAGAACCTGAAAGGTGGGACGAAACCGTGAATCCGCAATAGCACCAACTCCAAAACCAAGAAAAGAAGTAGGCCGAGCTTCTTGAAGGGCCAGGTCATAGTGGGTGAAGGTGCCTCCGCTTGGCTTAGGGGTGGCCGGTGTAGGGATTTGATTCGACTAATGACCAATATAGGAGTCGGAATAATTAACGATGGCATGCATCTATTTACGGTCTCCATGTAGTATATACCCCGAAACCCTCATCTAATTATTCAGGCCCGTATACTATAGAACCCATATAGTAGAACTCTCATTGCAACCCTCAGGGAACTTCCCCACCGATTTTCCTACACTAAATACAATCCACTTGGGAGTTTCGGAAAATTAGGGTACCGTATTTTGGGGTCCTTACAATAAGGGTCCTACTATTTAGGGTACTATATTAAGGTCCCCTATTTTCGGAAACTCCCACTTGGAGTTGTTTGTTTTTGCAGTTGGAGTCGACTCTTTTCGTGTCCGCCAGTTACTCACAGTTTAGAGCTCCATGTACCTTTATAGTAGATACTTCGGTCTTAAAGTACCTACATAGGGACCCCATTAAGGCCTAAGTATCTACTATAAAGGTACATGGAGCCTTTGGGTTAGTGTTCCAGAGATCTGAACGCTACGTAGACCCTAGACTGTCGAATGTTAGACTTGTTCCGTAAGAACCTCATTAAAGCTGAGGTTCCTATACAAACGGAGAGCGCGAGAGAGCGAGAGAGAGAGAGAGAGAGTTTGTGTGTGTTTGTGTATGAGGCAAACAAAAATCGTCTGACATAAATATTGAGTCCCCTAAACCCAAAACCCAAAACCCAATCATGTTAGGGAAGCCCGACGTACGGAACACGATGACGAAGATTCAAGATGCCGCCCTAAACCCGGTAAACCCTACACCCTGACCCCAAACCCTGTTCTAGTCATTAAGGCCCCCTATCTTATCTTCACCACACGATGCAGCTCTAAAAGCTCCTAATCTCCATCAGGGATAGCAGAGACTCTGCGAAAGATATGCCGGGTGTAAAGTATTACATAATCTTTTGACAAAATGATAGAATAGACCCTAAACCCGATACCCACTTTTTTTTTTTTTTGGGGGGGGGGTTGATAAGTTATACAATGGGCCCTAAACCCCAAACCCCGTTTAGGGCCTGGGGTTAAGGTTGCCTCCCAGCTCGAAGGACACGGGGCATGGCTTTCGGTGAGCACTCTGGAGGATAGAGCTTCAGTAATCTGGGGAGCCTTAAGACATAGAATAGGGTTTAGGGTTTAGGGTTTAGGGTTGAGGGTTCCAAACTCCTGAAGCCGACAAAAGCCAAGCTCTACAAACCCGAAATGCTGGTTCGAGTATCCCAAAACCCTAAACCCTAAACCCCTAAACCCTAAACATCTAAACCCTAAACCCTAAACCCTAAACCCCTAACCCCTAAACATCTAAACCCTAAACCCTAAACCCTAAACCCTAAACCCTAAACATCTAAACCCTAAACCCCTAAACCCAAGAAGGGCCCAGCGGCTGAACAAATGAGGGGCTCCAGGTGTAAAGTTCGTCCTCCGCCCTCCGGGTTCCTTAAAGAGGGCTCATAGGGCTGAGGCTTCCTTCGTTGAGGGTTTAGGGTTTAGGGTTTAGGGTTTAGGGTTTAGGGTTTAGGGGTTTAGGGTTGGGGTTGAGAGTTTACGGTTTAGGGTTGATGCTTCCTTGGACATGGTGATCGCTTCGGGTGTTGGAGTTTACTGGTCGCGGCTTTACGGCTTTGGGGTTTCGGGCTTTGGGGCGGAGGGACCTTCGGATTCGCGCTTTACGGTTTGAAGGGCTGCGATTATTCAGTCGGAAAGTCATTGTCAAGGGTTCTACAGAGGGTTCTTTAAGGATGTGCAGAGGCTCTTTACGAGGGCTTTAAGATCTACAGGGATTTCTGTAAATATGTTATAGAGGCTTTTTTACGAGGTCTTTGTAGGGGTTCCATTAAGGTTACAGGAAGCTTCACTCTGGAGTTTCACCGGATTTGGCGAGCTGGGGCAGCGGAGCCAATTCCACAGACACAACAGAACCACCGACATGCCCTTGTCATTGGTTCTTCCAGTCATTACGGGCTGATGTTGCACTATGGCTACGGGGGGTTCACATAATAATGATGATGATAACAAGCATAATGAACATAAGAACCAATAACCATAAGAACAATCACAATACCGAAAATAAAAGCAATAATCGTAGCATCACCGATAATCATAACAACAGTAATGGTAACCATCGTAGTTGGAAATTATAAAAATACTAGCAATCGTTTCATCATCATCATCATCATCCTCACCATCACCATCACCATCACCATTACATCATCATCACAATCATCATCGTCGTCATCATCGTCGTCACCACCACCAACACCACCATCATCATCATCATCACCATCATCATCATCACCATCATCATCATCATCGTCATCATCATCATCATCATGTACTCGCCAGAACACACGATCGCAACTACGTACTGCAACCGAAGTATCAGGTACTTGGACCATATGGAGTGTCGCATGGGAGGGCATCTCTCTCTCTCTCTCTCTCCCTGTCTCTCGCCGCTTGCTCTCTAAGCTTCGGCACTGTGGGCGTAAGATGCTCCAACTCGGCTGATGCTAAGCCTTGCGTTGGGGTCAACCTCGGTTGCGTCGCCCCTAAGTACATCTTGCGCCGCACCTCTCTCTTCAAGATCTCTTACCATGTCGAGTGGCAGAAATGTCATCGAGTCATTCATTTTACGGACTTAGTCGAAACTTCAATGTTATCCTCAACCCTAAACCGCTAAACCCACTCCTTGTGAGGACAGGTCTTATCGTCATGAGTGCTGTCGCGAAATGGGACCCCAGTGTCTCCATTGCAGCACCGTAGATGTAACTCGAAAAGAATCGGCGCCTCTTAAGATGAGTCCCTAATCGGGTTTTCATACCCAGCCATTACTCTTTAGGCACTATATTGCGGGCCGCTGTTTCCTGAAACTTCGAAATCCATGCCATAAGCCAGGATGGTCCAGTCTTCAATTCTCTGTCTGTGGTGATCCATCCGGACAGAGTCGAGTGACCGCCACAAGCCAACCACCGCAAAACCCCCTAAACCCTAAACCCCAAACCCTAAACCCTAAGCCCCAAACCCTAAATCTAGGATGCAGTCGATCTTGCAGTTCGCGAATCTCGATGGAAACCCTGCATCCGAAGCTGTCCGGTTTAAAGTTTAGGGGTTTAGGGTTTAGGGTTTTAGGGTTTAGGGGTTTAGGGTTTAGGGGTTTAGGGTTTAGGGTATCCGAAGTTGTATTGTTTAAAGTTTAGGGGATTAGGGTTTAGGGTTCCCTAACAACCCAAGCACGATTTCGCCGCCCAGATTCCCCCTGCGGGGCTTTGGACGTCGATGTCTTCGAGGCACGAGAGGTGAGAGAAGCATGAGATCTGTTAGAATCCTCCTGCACAAGGGGTTTAGGGTTTAGGGTTTAGGGTGGGCTTCGGGCAGGAAGCCTTGGGGTGGCCCGGTAGTACGGTGTCCATAAGGCTTTGGAATCCTAGGGCGCTGCCTTTCTGATTTCGGGGCAGTACGTCATCCCCCGAATCCTCACACAGAGAATCTTGTTGTTGTTCGGAGCTCACAGGAAGCTCAGGCAAAAGCTCAAAAATACAGAAATCACTAGGGTGGAACGCAAGTTGTCAACACGCGACTGCACCATTTTCCCCGACCTCCCGTAATTAATTAATGTCCCTCAAATAGTAGTAGGATCCAGAGTATGGTTTAAGGTCTATTTCTTAGTTGCGGGATTTTGGAAGCTCTGGGTAGCCCCTAAACCCTAAACCCAGCCAAAACATCCGAGCATGTCCTTTCTCATCTCCTTATCCTCTTGGCTGGACTTCTGCGCAGCTGTGGCCACCCTGGAGCTTCTGCGGTTCAGGGTTTAGGGTTTACCTAGAGACTCCAACACCGCTTAGTTAAGCAATATACCTTCAGTTCACAATCAGGAACCCGTGATAGTCTACGGTATATCCCTCAATTGAGAGGTTCTGCAGTCTTTGGGTACTTGGCATGTACTTGGCATGGACATCCAGTCTTCACAGGTAATTATGTTTCTGTTCTTGTGCTCCGTTACCCTATCTCCCTCCCCTGACCCTAAACCCTAAACCCTAAACCCTAAACCCTAAACCCTAAACCCTAAACCCTAAACCCTAAACCCTAAACCCTAAACCCTAAACCCTAAACCCCAAACCCGTGCTCGGTACCGGGAGCCATGATGCGGGCTGGAGCTGTACAGGAGCCAAAGCCGATGTCGGGGCCTTCATAATTAGAATAGGGTTGTGGTACCAAATGATATTCTATTTTTTTTTTGGAACCCCCCAAAATAGTATAGGCAATTATTTTGGCCCCTACAGTAAACCCTAAACCCCAAACCCCTCACCTCTAAACCCTAAACTCCAAACCCCTAAACCCCCATTTTGAGACTCATTAGCCCTTCCAAGGCGGCAGGTGTCCATAGTTTCTGCTAGGAATCCACCTCCCAAGCCCTCCCGCTTCTACTGGGGCTAGGGTTTAGGGTTTCTATTAGGGCTTAGGGTTTGGGGCTGAGGGTTCAAGGTTCAGGGTTGGCTTCTCGGCACCAAACTCTGAATCCCCAGGGTGCAGACGCAGTGCAATGCAGGAGGTGGGCCACGAGGTCGATCCACGCGGCGTAGGATCCTCAAAATCATGCTATAGCCCTACATGGAGGGTCATACCCTACACTTCTTTATTGGAGGCTACCTACATAGTCGTACCTAGTTTTATGGTGAGGATCTGTCGTATAGAGGAGAGGTACCCTAAAAAGGGTAGGGTATGACTATGTATGACTCTATAGGTAAGGCTTCATTCAGGAAATAAGCTCCCTTGCACTCCTCTGCACCGCGTCTGTGATTCATGCACACAAACGTGATGATGCACGTCCGCATCATATAGAGTACGGCATAGAAAATGAACGTATGAAACACAGGTAATCAACTTACGACTGTTGCTCACATTTCCATCTCAATGCATGTGCGTGCAGGTGCAAGCACACACACAACAGGGATACATGTAGCGCGTGTGTGTGTGTGTGTGAGAGAGCGTGTATTCGCATTGTTGCAATGAGCCTACACTTAGATGTCAATGTTCATATAAACAAGCACACATGACTCTGTAGCATTGATGTCAATGCATCCACCCATGCATGCATGCATACATACATACGGTGGTACACATACATATACACATACATACATACGTACATACATACATACATACATACATACATACATACATACATAAATACGTAAGAGATTCATTAACTCATTCATTCATTCGTTCATTCGATCGAACATACATGCATACATACATACAAACAAACAAACAAACATACATACATACATACATACATACATACATACATACATACATACAGACTTACATACTTACTTACTCACCTACATGCAGACATGCATACATGCAGACATGCATACATTCGCACATTCATGTATGCATACATGCATTACATACAAGTGTACATGAATGCATGTATGCACGCATGTATGGCAGACATACAGACAACAAGACAGACGGCACATGGACGGACAAGCACACGCATTCACCATGCACTCATGTAGGAGTACATGCATAGACTAGAGCGGTACAATGCGGCTCAGCTACAAGTAGGAAGTGCACATTCCACAATTAAGTCTGTCATCGGGAACCTCATGCAGGCAAGTTGCTCATTCAGCATTTCCTCTTGCCAGCAGAGCTTCTGGGTCAACTCTTTCCGCAGCTGAATGACGCTTGCATGGACAGGATCTGCCAAACAAGGCTCAGCAAAGAGATTCTGAACTAATTACTCACTACCACTAAAGTGCGAACCCTGCCCACACGTATCACAGCGTGGCATCGACGATTATTCATTCCTAGCTCAGCCCGCAAAGCCAACGGCAAGCACCCAGGCAGCAGAGTCCAACCATCGAGACAAATAATCTATATCATGACTCGGAAAAAGATGGACTGCTCGATCAAGCCGGCACGATGCACATAATTGAAAACAAGCAGCCCGGGCCGATCGATCTATCTACCTACACATTTATCTAACTACGTACCTTTCAAGTATGTATGTATGTATGTATGTATGTATGTATGTATGTCTGTATGTATGTATGTACGTATGTATGTATGTATGTATGTCTATGTGTGTGTAGGTACATGGGTATGTAGGTATGTAGGTATGTATGTATGTATGTATGTATGTATGTATGTATGTATGTGTATATGTATAGAGGCATGCATGTACGTAAACTTGTATATCACGAACATACCGCCCATGCCAGGTATGCTAGCAATACACAGGTACATATGATCACAGCATAGATAAATCTATGTAGATAGAATGGAAGATAGATAGATAGCTGGATGGATGCATAGATGGATAGATAGGTAGATAGATGGATAGATGGACAGATGGATAGTTGGAAAGATTGATAGATGTATAGATGGAAAGACTGATAGATGTATAGATGGAAAGATGGACAGACAGACAGATAGATAGATAGATAGATAGATAGATCGATCGAGAGATACATGGATAGATAGATTAGACAGATAGACAGATCGATCGATAGATAGACAGATAGATCAGACAGATAGATGGAACGATACATGGGTAGATAGAACTCGAGGTGGAGAGAGAGATAGAGAGAGAGAGAGAGGGAGGGAGAGCGATAAAGATAGCCGGATAGGTAGAGAGAGGGATCCAGTAAACAGATCACTGTGGACATATACATACACAGCGCGATCTTTACAAGGCTCACGGTGTCTCTCCCAAGAAGTGGGTCAAACCCTTTCCTTGGGCCCAAACCACGAGTGCAATCGCAAAGATGATGAGCAGTTAGAAACTGGAGGATTTCTGATTCAGAATACGAAGACCATTCTTTGCCAGGGTTTGCTTCTAATTACAAAGGCCCCTACAGAGAAAAAAAAACAAGTTGGAAACCGGATTAAGGACAATTAGTGCTGGGATTCCCTTGACATTGCTCTTAAGGATTGAGGCTATTGAGTTTTCCAACTGCTGGGCTTATACTGTATATTCATCACACAGACGATGGCCAGATCAAAGCTGAGAGCTCCTCAGGGCCCCAAGCCGAAGGGCCCGTGTACCCAAGTAGTATAAACTTTGGCCCCAAAGTACCTTATATAAGGACGACTTTAAGGCCGAGGTATATACTATTTGGGTACATGGACAGAGTACTAAAGCCCAACGCCTAAAGCCTAAAACCCCAACCCTAAACTCCTAACGCCTAAAGCCTAAACCCTAAACCCAAAGCCTAAAGCCTCACACGCCACTCGGGGCCTTCCGGAACAGATGCCTGCAGGTCCAGATCGCCAGGTGAGCCGGATGTCTCCTGGCAGATTGGAGGTCATACCCCAAAGGCTGCATGTACTTTTATAGTAGATACTTAGGCCTTAAAGGGGTCCCTATATAGGTACTTCAAGGCTTAAGTATCTACTATATGGGTACATGGAGCCCTAGGGACGAATATGGGGTTTAGGCTTTAGGGTTTTAGAATAGGGTTTTGATGTAACTATGCTATAATTGTAATCAGGAACCCCCAAAACAGTCTTGGTAATCATTTAGGCCTTTGTATTTGGTAGTATAGGGATGCTTTTGAGGTTCTCAGGGGATCTATGCAGGAGTTTGGGTTTCGGAGAGAGTTTCTGTCTTGCCCTTACCCTCAAAGGACTCATAGTTTAAGGCTTTTGGACCCGACGACCGTATTATAGAAGGCTTTTGGCTATTTTGATGCTGTCGGTTCCCTTACTACACACAGCTCGCTTCCCCATAAGACAGGCACGACAACAGCATGAAACGTTTGACCTACAAATAGAGTGTTTAATCTTCTACCCCTGCAAGGGAGTAGGCTTCAATGGCTTCTTTCAGCCAATTTAAACCAAATCCCTGTCGATTTCCGAAATTCCGACCAGAAGTTCTTAGTTGCAACATCTCGGATGCCCAAACCCTGAACCCCAAACCCTACCAAAAC